TGTTGGATCTTCATCTTTCAGAACTCGACTTCCTTCTTCATTATGTACAAATTATTTTGAAGCATTTTCGTATCATCCTTTGGGAAAATATACCTTAGAGTTTATCCTAGAAAAATAAGAAATATGAAAAGTAAATTTGGACACTTTAAACGTGTATTTAAGGTAAACGTAAAACTTACTTTAAGAATTTAAAAGAAACTGAGAATTGTGAAAAGTATGTGATATACAAGCATTTATATACCTCAGAAAACCTTCAAATTTTACTTTAGAAAAATAAGAAATGTGAAAAGTAAAGCCAACAGCACACGATACTATTTTTCTTACTAGATTGCTTACGACAGCCAATAAGGATGCAGAGTTTTAGATCAGATGACGTGAGGCTAAATCCTGATTGGCTCTCGTAAGCAATCCAGTAGAAAAAATAGTATCGTGTGCCGTTGGCTTAAATTTGGATACTTAAAACTTTAAGAATTTAAAAGAAAACTTTAAAAATTGTGAAAAGTATATGATATACAATAATATATAATCCCGCGTACGGTTTTCTTCTTACGAGAAAGTGCTGTGCCGCGCGGCTCTCAAGCGGGAACTTTGACAGGCTTGGCTATCTTAAAGTTCCTTTAAGTGTCCAAAATTACTTCAAAATTTTAAGTAAACTTTTGACTTGTTCAAGTAAACTCTTAGATTTGAAAGATTACTTTTGGAAACTTAATTTCATTTAAAGCAAATTTTCTCAAGGGATCTCCTGGAACTCGTTATTATTCAGAGAAGATGCGAAAATGGAGCCCTTATTATTGACGGCGTTGCATATTGATGCCGCCTCGATTTATTTTCCTCGATTTTATTATGTCACCGGAGCGTAAATATTTATTTTTAGAACTTTCTTCCTCAATGCGTACATAAAATTTCCATTTAAAACGATCGTAATTATTTTGGAATATTTTCATATTAAACAATATATGGTAACACGCCAATGTGGGTCGCAAGGCAAGATGTAGGTAGCCCAACTTGTAAATCTTAAATCTTTCTGAAAATCGTGAATCTATATACCGTTTCTTTCCACATTAGTACTACGCGCCGATTTCTTTTCCGGACATAACGATTTTCATATTATCTCCGGGAACTCGTTATTATTCAGAGAAGATATGAAAATGGAGTCCTTATGTTGACGACGTCGTACATTGATGCCTCCACGATTTATTCTTACAATTTTTGGCATAAACTGGTAGATTGTCGGGAGAGCATTTGGCGTAACGAGAATTGCGCAACATTACGCGTTCCTAACTGTAGAGTACTAAAACAGGACTTGCAAAGCTCTAAAATTAAGATCCTTGACATGTCGTTACAACAAATATTAATTTATACCCGGAGGGAAGTTTCTCTTATCCTGAAAATTATGTAATCATGGGACAACGTGGCAGTTTGAAGAACTGTATGTGAGTTTTTTTTAATTGTACCATACATTCTACTAGTAAAATGTATACTAAGTATAATTACTGGTGAAATGTATGGTAAAACTTGAAAAAAACTCTGACACAGTTCTTCAAAGTGTCATGTTGTCCCACGGTTACCTAATTTTCCGGGTAAATTTTAAGAGAACGTTCCTCCCCGTGCACCGCGCGAAAAATAACTTTCCACCCTTTTTCCACTTCAGTTCCATCGCGAGATGGACTGCGTTGAACACCAATATGTCTGCCTAAGTCTGAGCCGTTAAGTGTCACCGGTGAACATCGTGATTATGTAAAGAGGGGACAATTTCCGGGCGTGACATCCGACGAAGATTTCACGATTATACAGGCAGAAACGCGGCGTGGGCCGCGTTATTGCGAAAATTACGAGTACGAGGCGTGAGCGAGTCGCCGGTCCCGTTCGCGCGATTTAATAAGCCATATTATTACGTACGCGTGACTCTCTTCCGACTCGCGTAAAGAGTCGCGCGACTCTCTCTCTCTCTCTGGCTCTCGCGTGCCCTCGAGTGCCCTCGTGGTCGCGTGCTCTTTCGCGAGCGCCCGTATCCGCGCGACGATAACCGACGGCGATGGCGAAAGGGCCGTCAATTTCTAACGACATCAACGGATGGCGGGGTGAGAGACGGAGAGCGAGCAAGCGTGTCTCGGACGAGGAGAAAATCAATAGACCACGTGGGTCGCCGACCGGGTTTTCCGAACCCAGTTTTCACCCCTAATGCCGCAAGATAATGACACGGCGGCCGAATCGACCGGATAGAAACGCTCGTTATTCGCCTTCCTACTGCACGATGTCGATAACGAGTCCCTCCTGACGTCACAGGCTGATATAAGCGCGCGAGAAGAGTTAGAACACTAAAGGCCTGTGTCCACGATGGCGTCCGCCCGGTCCAAGTTCTAGTTCTGCGGAATGTGTAGCCAATCAACTTGCGGCTATTCCGTAAAACCTGCAAGTTGATTGACCACACATTTATCGAAACTAGAACTTGGACCAAGTCTAACATCATGGACACAGGCCTTTATAATAGAACTTGGACCAAGTCTAGCATCGTGGACGCAGGCCTTACACTTCAGCTTGGTCTAAAAAGAGGACTAGTTTAGCTCAAACTTAAAACCATTCGTTATACCTTCCCACCTTTCGCGCGAGAAGAGTCCAGGAGTTTTAAAAGGGAGAGTTGAGCGGTCGCGTGACGAAGATCGAGATTCTCGAAGAGGTCATTTATAGTCGCGCCAGATATTGTTGATGTATTCCATGGGAAGGTGCGTTTTGTGTCCCTTGATTAAAAGTATATCCCCTGTCACATTAGATTCTTCGCTCGCGACAATAATAGAGTTTAGCTGAGACACAGGAAATCCCGCGTTAATCCTTTGAGCAAGACTCGCTTCTAGGAAGAGAATCATCTTCAACCTTTGCGTCGAGCATCCTTCATTTCGTTAGTTAGAAAGTAACCAATGATAAAACATCTTGATCTAAAGATGAAGAGATTTATAAAATATAATGGAAAGGTAATTGCGATACAGCGAGCGCTACAATATTCGATATTGTTATTACAGCATGATGTTATTACAAAGTTCACTATTTATAAGGTACGATCGATGTCAAGATACACACGTCTTTGAGGCACGCGCCCCTTTGAATCGACTTGCAAAATTGCATTAAGATTGATTTTCCAAAATATTTCCGACGAGAAAGCAGTCGCTGAAATAATAAATTTCAGCTGGAAATAATAGTTTCTTTTCAATTTCAAATATCCTATGTATCTAAATAATTTTTAAACATTTCTGAACTAGTCGCGTCGCACTTTCCCGTCGCAAGGGACTCCTATATTCACGACTGTCTTAAGATTAGGGCTGGTGATTTCCTTCGAAGGCTTCGACATTCGAACTTTCGAAGCTTCGAGGTTGTCTTCGAACTTTCGAAATCTTCGAAGCTTCGAAAAATTTAGCCGTGCGAATGGCGAATTTATTCAAATATTAAAAATATTGCAAATAAAAAGTAATAATTTATATATGTTGAAAAATAGCCAAGTTCGAAATAATCTATGTGTCATAATCTACATTCATTATATTAATAAATTCTGCACAGTGTAATGTAATATTTTATAATATTGGCAAAAATTTTAGATGAAATATTTAAATCTAAAGTACTAAATCATTTAATAATTAAAATTTAGTAAAAAAATGTCTATGCATGTTAGTTTTCTTTTTTTAATTGATGTTACAATTATATGGTTTTTAATTTTGGACACATTTGATTACTACCTGACTTTGTTATGTGAGCTGACGATCGTAACGGAACTGTCCTCCTTACGTACACATTATGAGCATAATAGATTCTCGTCGTGAAACGAGAAATAAGTTTTACATTCGTTTTAACAATTGACTAATTACTCGCGTCAATATCATATCCATCAACTGATTTTGTGACTTTTGCCTCAGCCTTGACAGATCTTACTCACTTTTTAAATACTTATTAAATTGTGTAGTCGATAAACAATTCTATAGACACACCTAATTCAATGAGAACTGCTTCACTTTTTATTTAAAATATTTCTGTATTAAATAGTGTTCAAGTGAATGTACGTGATAGACGCGCGACGTGGATAAGAATTGAGACTGCACGCGGACAATAACTCGATAATTTAGAAACCCAAGTAATATTCAGATAAATTTTTAATAAATTAAAGTATTAATTAGCGATATAATTCGCAATAAATTTATGCGAATTGTTCAGGTGTTGACACGATGCTTGATTGATTTACTTGACCATTTTTGAAGATTTAATTACGCGGCTTAAACAAATATGCAATATACATACACGGTATAGTACTTCAAAATGATAATTTATACGTAATCACCTATTTTTCAACATACATAAATAAGTACTTTTTATTTACAATATTTTCAGTGTTCTTTGAATTAATTCGCCACGCCACTCGCACGAATAAATCTTTCGTAGCTTCGAATCTTCGAAGCCATCAAAAGTAACAGCCCTACTTAAGATCATCTTTAGATACTCCGTAGCCACGTTCCGTACGGCATCTTCAGATAAACTCAAGACGGTCTTGAATATAAGATCCGACGATGAATACCGGCCTAAGTGTCCGCGACAAAAGACGCTCCTGCTCGGCGCGGCAAACCGGCGCGAGCAGCTACGACGACGGTCGAGCGATTTAACAATAAAGCCGCCGAGCGTTCGCGTTCCCCTACGCATGAAATCACGAGAGGGGTTACTTTCACTTAACCCCCGACGTGCTTTGTGCCGTTCGAACACGGCGGAAGCCACCCTCGCTGGCGCGCGGCGCCCTTCGAGGGCGGCCATACTGCGCGGAGCGCGTGCGAGGCCGTCCGCAGCGAGCACCGTCGTTTCTCCGCGATCAACCCGGGGACGACGATTCCCGTGGCCGCGTCGCGTACCTCGTCCCCCGGGGCGACGTTTCCCGGCGCCGCCGCGAAATTCCGCGGGACTTTTCATTCAACTTGGCGCGGGGGAAGGACGCGGCGCGGAGCGCGCGACGTCTCGCGAGATTCCCTCACCTATTTCCTTCGCGGACACCTTCCTCGACGCAGCGGGTCGTCGGCGGGCGCACCGATGTCGGGTGGAGAACGGGGGAAAAACTGCCTCGCACGCGGAGGATCGATCTCAGACGCCGGCCATGGCGCGAATCTCACACCCGGAACGGAGCACCGTCTCTCTTTCTCTCGCGCTCCCGCTCTCCGTCCGCTCTGGTCCTCGATCGAACTCGAACCCGCGCACTGTCACGAGCACCGTCCTCGTCGTCCTCGCGCGCCGCTACTCTTGCCAAGCGCACGCGGGAGCGCGGAAACGGAGGCGCGAGGTTGCGCACGGCGTGCTGGTCGGGCTCTGAATGACCGCCGCTCTTCACGGCCTCCGATCCCGTACCCGTGTAGACTCGTGAGGCTCCGCGCGCACTCTGCGACGAACTTGAGTCCCCGCGTGTGCGCGCGCGCGCGCGCGCGTACGCAAGGGCAAGGGAGAAGCACGCCACCCCCGGACAACGTATCGAGCGGCCTATCGGCCGCCCCTGACGCGCCTTTCTCCCCGACTTTAGGGGGCAAATACGGGAAATAATCCGGCGTGGGAGGGCGAATTAATCGCGCGGGGTGGAAATGGAAAATTAGAAGATGTTCCATTAGATTATTGGAGGAAGAACCGACTGGAAGCGGGCCATGGTTCCTTAAGGGGAAGTCCTTTTGTTGCCGACACGGTCAAATATAGTTTTTGCGCTTGTAATTCCTTTTATTGGCTTTTATGGATACAAAATTATACCGGAACAAGTTGCGGACCGTGTGGCAGAACATTTTCGCAGTTAAAACACTCAATTCAGAAGTTTAATAAAAACAATTGGCCAACCTCGATCACTTATAAAGTGATATTTTCAATCGCTCTCCGTGTTTTATATAAAGTCGACTGTCCATGGTTTTATCTTTATGCGTACTTTAGCCACGTGGAGGAATTTTACAATTTTATAAAGCCAATTTAAAATTTAGCACGAACTACGAATTGACAATTTCAAATGCCAATATCTTTTTTATTAGACTACTGGATCGAGTGTTTTAAGTATGAAAATGTTCTGCTACGCGATCTTATCCTGGTATTATTTTGTGCATAAAAGCGCCAATAAAAAGAATTACAAGCGCAAAAACTATATTTGACTGCGTCGGTAAAAAAGATGGCTGAGGGATCCTCTAATGCGCGCAAGTATTTTTTGTTAGTGGAATTTGCATTCAATACGACTTGAATGAATTGTCTGAAATTTAAATTCGCACTTATCGAGTTTCTCGGAATTACATCGAGTAGAAATTGACACTTTCAGGAGTTATCGCTGCGATAATTTAAATTATCTTATTGTTAGCGAACGCGCGTGTTATCGGTAACCTTGCGACTGTTTTTTCGATAAAAAAAACAATGAAAAATGCAGAAAAACGTTACTCCGATAAACGGTAATATTTTTCGCGCGAGGCGTACGACATATCTATGCGTTTATACACGCTTAGACACATTCCGAAAATCCTCTAAGAAAAAACTGTGCAATCCTGGCCTTCGGGATTTTCGGAGCATGTGTAGTAGAAAACTGCGCAGACTTGGCGCATTGTTCTTAGTTCTGGAATGTGTATGGGTATCCAGGAAGCACACATCGGTTTCGAAACCGTTTCGCAAAACCGTTTCATGGTACTTTACGTTTCTTAGACATTAGACTCGCCTAAGAAACGTACTTTAAACCAACGTGTGCTGCCTGGGATACCTTTCGTTCAAGCAATCCCGAAGGCCAGGGCTGCACATTTTTTTATCAGACAACTTCCGGAAAGTGTATGGGTAACCTTTAGCACGATTTACAGCCGAGCGGAAAAAGTCGACGTTCTTTTCAGCTCGGCGGCGGTCACTTCGCATTTAAATAGTCCGATTTTGCAGCTCGCTCGATTGCCCTCCCCCGAAGCTAGGTTCCTCATTAGCCGCGCGTTCCAATCGCGATGCGAAAAAAACGATTATTCGCAGACGAGCGACATTAGTCGTTAGGATTTTTGCGCTGTCCGTTCGCTGCGTCGATACGACTCGGCGATAACGAGAGAAGAGCCTCCGAAGGGAGGGATTTGACGTCGTTTACCAGCCGATACGTGCCTTCCTCTCGGAAGGATTCGCCCTCCCGATCTCCTCCCTCTTTTCGCCGGCTCTCTCATTAAAACTTGCTCCGCTCGAGCTCCGATCGAATTTGTCGTCGCTTTATTTTTCACCGCGACACGTGCCATGCTGGCGTCGAATGTCACGCTTCGACACGTCATACTATTATCGCCCACGTAACAAAAATACACAGCGACAATACGTAAACTTGCATTTTAGCGCTCTTTGTTTTTTTATATACAATTTAAAAATGCGCCTCTTGTAATTTACGCCGACACGTCACGCTATTATTACCCGCGAAAGAAAAGTGCACAATCACCGTGACCGTATCCTAGCACAGTGCATTGACCAAACATTGGTTAAGTAATCTTTTAACTTCTTCAAGTAAGCTCTTAGATTTGAAAGATTACTTTTGAAAAGTTTCATTTCATTTAAAGTAAATTTTCCCAAGAGACAAATGTTTAGCCAATGCCCTGTGCTACTAAGGCCACGTAGACCATAAACTCACATTTTAGCGCTGTTTCTTTTCTCCGTATAATTAAAAAAAATCTGTAACTCTGAGGAATATCCCATTAGGCGCGACTCTTCTCGGCGCCGCGAAGTAAGCGCAATCGCGAGATAACGAGGGAGAAAAACGTCTAAGATGTCTCTCAATCGACCGCGGAGTGTTAGGTCTGCGGTTTCTCTTATCGTGGACACGCAACGGACACCCCTCATTGTTTTTGCTCAAGATCGTTTCGCTCTCGCGAAACATGCTTTTCGCTTCTGCGGCGCCGACAAATCGCATCGCAATAAGATCAAGGCTCGTTAAGGCTCGCCCGAGATACTTCGCAGCCTCCGGGGCGCCGATTAACGCGAATAAAAAGTTACGGGTACGGCGATACGGGAGATTTTACCTTATCGGGATGCGATCTTCTCGCGTCAAAGAACCGGCCGACAATCGCTCGCCTTTCTAATGTATTCCGCGTTCGCCTGCTTAATTAAGCAAATTATCGGACGGCCGATCGGCTCGTTAACGCGAGTGATTTAGTGTCGAGTCTCGCGGGAGGCTCGAGGTATCACCTATAAACTGAACGGACGCGGGCGCGAATGATAATTCGCGGGATTCCGTCACTGTTATCGCATCTCCCGACGAGCAAACAAATTATTCGCAGGTTGCACAATCTCATTTCGTCGACCCTCGGCGGTCTCTTTCCTTCTGCACTCGCGAACGTCACCAGGGCGAAAGTAAACGAGCACTTAAGTAATAGAGTGTGTGATGCACATTTCCGAGGATGCGCGGAGTCCAAAATAAAAACCGTGGCGTTTATATAAAAGCTTGCAGAACTATGTAATACTGGCTAATTTTTGTAAATCAATCCTTCTTGAGAATATTTACAGCTCGATAATTACGCGAGCAGTGACTTATGTATAAGAAAAATACGTTCTGTTACGCAAAACGGGCGTTACGTCTGTTATAAATAATTTATTTATTACAAATAATAAAGAAAAGAATCTCTTTCATTTTACTGCACGTAACTACCTGAATCCTGCCGGAATTGAAAATTGTTTTCTCGCCGGTTTGGTGAAAGATCGCGCAACTGGCCCAATTGTCGTCAGGAGTTGAACAACGGAGGGGAGTAGAATGGGAGGCCTCGAAGAAAAGAAAGTTGAAAGAACTCGGGCAATTTTGTCCCTCTCGCCGACACCTCTTTTTACCACTGTGATCAGACATACGTTGATTATCTTTTTGTATCGCCTCGCATGATTTGCCTTGCGAACGGCTCGCCGTAAACCACTGAGAAATTTCCACGAGAGCGCAGTAAGAAATCGCGCGACGTTCGCCTCTGAAAAAAATCACTTATTGATTTCAGAATATTTTACGACAGATTGCGCTAATTGTACAAAACTGGCGAATCTTTTGCGATTAAATAAATAAACGAATAAACGCTTTATTGCTAGAGAACGGACTCCATTAAACTTTCGACTTTCTATTATATTCTATTATTCTACTTTTACTTTTCCCTCTAAGATTCTACATTTCTATCGTATTTATAACTTTCTATGTCTGTATCTTTTATTATTTCTACTGAATCCGAAGAAACGTCATGTATGCAAGCGAACGTAACTCAACTTTCTGACTTACCATCGAGCAAGATGTCTACAACGCGATCGTAACTGATGCCATTTTACGGCAATTGATCGAATAAATTATACCTCGCGGAAAAATATATTGCGCGTACGCGAACGGATGACGAAATGTCATTCGAAGATCCGTAAGATACGGAACGCACAGTCACATGGATCGATGGGGTTAATAATAATGGACGCGGATTGCACGACGGTGTATGTAACGTTTAATCGCGCACGCCGTATCATTATTATATTGTTTTTGCTGGGATCGGAACGAATCATTGAACATGGAAATACCGCGTGGCGGCATAAGCGATGAAAGAAAAGAAATGTGATAATAAGCGCTTTGCACCGCCTCTAGCAAACTATTACCATGTAAATTCTTACATAGTTTAACTAATTGCGTAACGAACGCCCGCCTTTCGGAGTGGTATCGCTTTATCGAGCACGTATAGCGATTTCCTGGCGAGTCTAATCCCATTTCTATTTCGAATCTCAGGAAATGCAGGTGCGGAAGATGCGCCAGCAGAAGACTCTTAAATGCCCAGTACCTTGTTCCAGTCTTCCGGAGCGCATTCTGAACAGAGAGGAGTAGGGATTCGGGGCAACTCGTCGCAGGACTCCTGTTACGTAAGTATCCTTCGGTGACGTCAGGGAATCAATTCCGAGTGGAGGAGGAGAGGTTCGCTTACGTCACCGTGATAACGCAGCATATCTCTCTCTCTCTCTCTCTCTCTCTCTCTCTCTCTCTCTCTCTCTCTCTCTCTCTCTCTCTCT